TAATTTTGACTAAGGATTTAGCAGTCTGCTCTTTAGTTGGCTCTTCCACGAATGCCATGTAACCAGGTGAGCCTTACAAGAAGCTGAGTTTTTTTAAAAAATAGGAAATGACAAAGTGAGACTTGTGTACCAGAGTGTTATATGGAATAGAAAGAGGAGGGACTGGAATCAGAAAGGGAATAAGAACAATTTACTATTGTGTAAGGAATATCAGTTAGGTCATGAATTCAAGAGGAAGAATGCAAGCTAATAAATTTGTAATGTAGACATATGACAAAATTCCAGAAGTAGCTGAGCAGACGTCTTATGGGCATTCAACAAGACAGCCTTGGAACGCACAGAAATCCTTTCCCTTGGTGAAACGTGTTTTAAAGAGTATGAGAATTGACACCACTGACCTGTAGACGTGGTAACAGTGCCACCTAGAGGTGAGATGTGTGCTCCAGGCAAAGTTCCCTACAGAATGTTCTGGACTTTAAAATATACAAGTCAGTGTCCAGCGAGATAGCTCAGCAGTTTAAAGCTGCCTGCTTAGGCAGACACAGGGGCTGGGGGTTCGGTCCTCGTCCTGCCGTGCTGGCCCTGCCCCTGGGGTGCTGAGATGGCAAATGAGACTGGTGTGGTGGCGCACCTGTAATCCCAATACTTGGGAGGCTGAAAAACAGGAAGGATCACTACAAGTCTGATCTGTGTAGTGAGACCCTGTAGCCCTTGAAAATATGCATTAAAAAAAGAAAAAAATATGCTAGCCAGTATAGCTTCTGATTTGCATAAGGCCAAATAATATAAAAAGGAGAACAATTTAAGTTGATTTACAGCTTATAACTCAGACAAGAGTTTAGCTGGCAGGTGAACTGTCAGTTTATAAAAGTGGTAAAATAAAATGTGTAGCTAGATGTATTCTGGAATAGAAGAGGCCTAGTAATGTGGACACATCTGGGAACAAAACCAAGTCACTAAAGAAAACAGTTCCAGGTACAGTTCAGAAACATCTTTTTTCTGGACCTGTCCCACTTCAGAGTGTTTGTGTTCTCTGGGAAACAGATTTGAAAAGAACTGAGGTATTAACCACCTCGAAGCTCTGGAGGGGAAACTTCTACTGAGCCCCCTCCCTCTTGCGGCAGACGGACCTTGTCGGGCCCTGGAGGGAATGCGAGGCCTGGCAGTGGAGGTCCGGAAGTCCTCACTGTCAGGGCTGCTCAGGCACAAGCAGCATGGAAACTGCCGCAAGAGGGTCAGGCAAGAATGAGCTGGAAAGAAGCTGAGGAGAGCGCGAAATATCAAACAGAGCTGGGGAGGGAGAGATGACACCTGTTCTGGGTGCTTGCAAACAATGAAGAGTCACTGCAGAGGAGAAAGTGTGCAATAGATTGGAATTCCTAAAAGTCAATCATATGACATTTGGGATATTAGATTTCAGTCTACATTGATTCCCTGAAAATAAAACCTACACTGCCCCCCCAATAAGTCGTAATCTCTTCTAAAATCATTCCAGAGCTTGTTTCTGTGGCAGGACTTATTTTCTGGGAAATACAGTATTACTGTAAATATGAAGATTGTGGGGTTTGGGGAAAGAAGGGCCATGAAATATATAGGCTATCTGAAAAGTAAATCATTGTCACACTTGGGTCATGTACTTTTAATTTTAATGAATATAGTGATAGACCAAGACAGTGTCATATTCTTTTTTTTTTAATTAATTATTTATTTATGTGTGTGTGCGTGTGTGTGTGTGTGTGTGTGTGTGTGTGGCCAGCTCAGCCCACCAGGGGGCGGGGCTGGCTGGCATGTGGTGCTGGGGGATTGAACCATGGTCCCTGTGCTTTGCCAAGCCTGCTTTAAGTAGGTGCTTTAGACCACTGAGCCATCTCACCAGCCCCGACAGTGTCATATTCTATGTGACTTAACTGAAAACATTATTTAGGCAATTTTACATCTTTTTCCTAAAGATAGAGCACTGGGGGTCAGGGAGATAGCTCAGTGGAGTAAGAGCTTGCCTGGAAAGTGTAAGGTCCTGAGTTCAAACCCTGGTACCACCAAAAAAAATAAAATAAAGATTAAAGCAAAGAAAAAAACAAGCAGTTGAATAACTTAAGACATATTCTTCTTCAAAGAACTATTGCTGGTAATCAACAGCTTATAGTTATAATTTCTGCAAAATATATAATGAAGTGCTGCTCTTGTTTTACACCAAATCTTTTCAGTTCATTATGTAACTAAAGATCATATATATTCCATTGGAGGGTCATGTCCATCATTGTAGTACAACCAGTATCCGCTCACCTATTATGACATTTGTAGCTTTAACACCTAGAAACACTCCCTTAGTGAAAGTAAGAAATAATCATTTCCAATGTCCTTCTTTTCCCTCCAATCCTAGTCCAGCCTAAAGTACATGTGTCCCCTTCTAAGAAGGGGACCCTGCAGCACCACAACCAGCTCATCTGTCATGTGACAAACTTCTACCCGGGCAACATTGAGATCCGGTGGTTCCTGAATGGACAGGAGCAAACAGCTGGGATCGAGTCCACCAACCTGATCCGTAATGGAGACTGGACTTTCCAGATCCTCGTGATGCTGGAAATGACCCCCCAGGAGGGAGATGTCTACACCTGCCATGTGGAGCACCCCAGCCTGGACAGCCCGGTCACCGTGGAGTGGAGTGAGTTCCCACCTTCAGTGACCCTCCAGAGCCTGCAGTCTGAGAAGCAGGGCACACACTGGCTCAGGGATCCACTCTTGCTGTCTACACACTGGGGTCCTAGCTGCATGTTGTGATTTCTGAGGGTGGTTCTGAACTTCAGGAAATAGAGACCCCTCTGTCTCTGCCCTAGAGGATGCTGAATAGCCAATGATCAGAAAATCTGGGAGCCTCCTGAACTGGCCTCACACATAGGAACTGTTCTGCTCTGTGAGCCTGTCAGTTGGCTCTGCCTGGGCTGAGAGGCAGCTGGCAGACTCTCCATTTTTCCTCTAGTTTGAAGTTACCAGCCTAAGTCTAGAACTCGGGACTCAGCGAGTTGCCTTCTCACCACCTCCTGCTGATATTCTACACCAATCTCTGGGTTCTCAAACAGGACATGTTCCCAGAGAGGTGAAACTAACACTGGATTCTGATTTTCTCAGGGGCTCAGTCCGACTCAGCCCGGAACAAGAAGCTGACTGGAGTCGGCGGCTTCGTGCTGGGGCTCATCTTCCTTGCAGTGGGCATCGTCATGCACGTCAGGAGCAAGAAAGGTAGGAAGGGCTGCGAGGTGCCCGGAGCTTGTCTCTTCCCTGACTTACACATCACCGTGACAAGGGATGAGACAGAAGAGTGATGCCCCAGAGTCCTAGAAGCCACTGAAATGAAGTTGTCAAAACAAAGATGAGGGAGAGAAGAACCCAGTCTGGGGTCTAAACACACCAGAGGCACAAGGGTTTCAGGAACTCAGACTCACGTGGGGCTAAGGGAAGGTGGGATGGGAGCGCTTCTCTCAGCATCCACGGTGGATTTAGTGGCTGAATGCACTCACTGCCTTTTCTTCTTTCATTTCAGGTCAACGAGGATCTCGATAAGCAGGTAAAGTCCCTGCCTTGCTTCTCTCCAGGGAGTGGGTGACAGAGAATCTGACTGCGTGCTGTGCCCTGTGACACTGACCACAGGGAGCAGCCCCTCAGGCCTGGGATTAACCTTTCAACCTTCACTCTTGGATGAGCCTGGGGAAAGAACATTTTCTCATTAAGGAAAAAAACTGAGATCCATAGTATTATTTTTAAAATCAGGCTGTTTTATCTCATAAGACTATTATTTTTTGTCCTGAGATTTCAGGGAGGAGGAGTCAGCCACCTAGAATGATCTTTTCTTTACCCCTACAGGGCTGCTGTTCTGACTACAAAGATGAGCCTCCAAACAAGAATTTTTCTGCTTTGGCCCTAGAGCCTGGTTCTGGGCTAGACCCCAGCTGCCCACGAGGATGTGGCTGCCACGAAACTGCTCTGAAGTGTTTCTGAAGCTCTGCTCTTTGATTCAGTGCGCTTCTTTCATCAACGAAGTTCCCTTCTCGTCCGCGTCATAAATAAAATCATATCTCATTATTTTCTTTTAAAACCATGCAGAGTTATCTCAGTCACTGCATTTGATTAAAAGTTTTGGTGACCAATCAATTAGTGAACAAATTCATTGCCATTAAATGTAGGCAAGAAAAAAGAAAATGTGACTATCCTAACGCCAAATACCCCAGCTGCTGCACGTGCTGCCTGTTGGACCGCCTTGTGCACTTGCCGCACTTCACTCGTCCCGTAATCATGTTTGTCCCCTTCGTCCCTGCAGATCTGCAGCCATTGTTCTTAGTTACTCATGGTGAGCAGACTGTGACTCTGCTTCGCGTGGCCCGCACTCACGACTCACCGTGTACTTATTAAGGGTGTTCTTTACCGTCACTGTTATGAGATACAAAGAACGTCAGAATTAAAGCTTATCATCTAACACACTTCCAACCTGTTCTTTGCACTCATAGTGAATATCCCTTAACCGTGTAGATCGCTTAGCCTTTGGAAGGCATCAAGTAGACGACGAGGCAGTGCCTCAGTCTGCGGTCATCGCCTCACCGACACCTCCCGGCCTACTACTTGGTACAGCAGGAAGTGCATCTCCGTTGTTAAAACCAAAACAAAACTCGTGGAACTTTTTCAAAAGCTGTTTTCTTATAATCCAAAATGATTGTGGGTTTTGTTTTTATACTAAGTTTTCTTTAAATCAAAATAGAGCACATTTAGACTGTGCTCTTTGTGCTCAAAAAGTACAGATTATTTCACCCTGCTGCCCAGACTGAGCGCTCAGCAGCTCCTGTTACAGAAAATCAGTGCCTCCTCCCTCCCTGGCTCCTCACAGCAGCGTCTGGACATGGTGTCCCTGGGCGTCTGCTCCTGGCCATTCACCACAAGCTGCAGCGCTCTGACCACGGTTTCCTCTTAAAGCATGCTCTGCATTTGGAGGCCAGGTTCCCCCATTCCCAAGAGCACTCAGGGCTGAAGGTGCAGACGTGAGCGTCGCTGATGCAGAAGGAGGTGTGGCGGGCTCTGCAGGAAGGAGGACTGGTTGGGGGGCGGAGTCGGGAAGGGGGTCCACGCATGAGGGTAGCCAACTGCGGTTAACGTACTCTGCACTGTGGCTTATTTAATGTTCTTTTTCTAAAATTCATTTTAATAAGAAAAAAAAGATAAAATAGCAATGAAACAGTTTTAAAACAGGTTAGTAGGGTCATTATAATAATTAATACATTGCATATTGTTGTCTTTGTAGTACTTATTCCGAGGACAAGATGCAAACACGATATCTTGTCTCAACAGTACAAACTCTTATTCTCAATGAAATAAGAGAAAGTAGCTGTATATCTGTCAGGACAAGGGCCAGGGAGATGGCTCAGTAGAATAAGTGCTTTCCTGGCAAGTGCAAGAGCCTGAATTCAATCCCCAGTTCCAAAAAAAAAAAAAAAAAAGAATGGCTATCAGGACAGTTTAATTTTCCTTATAAACTATGGAGACAAAGGCTTTGCTGAGGTCACACAGCCATCACATGACCAAGTCACAGGTGACACATAAGCTGCTTCCAAACCCGTGTTCTTTCCATGGCTCCACCTGAGATAATTTAAAGATACCTGGCCTGTCCCAGAGTGGAACCCAATCATCCTCTCAGCATTGCTCCCATTCAATCTTTTTCTTTTCATGTCACCTGAAGCATTTATTTATTTATTTATTTTGATTAATCTTATTGAGAAACAAATAGCAATGAGGCAGTTTCAAAACTGATTAGGACAGTTTCAATAATTAATACATTGCATATTGTTGTCTTCATCGTGATTATTCATAGTACAAGATCAGACATGATATCCTGTCCAAACACTATTTTTTTTAAAATATTTATTTATTACATTTATTTATTGTGTGTGTGTGTGGCCAGCTCAGCCCACCAGGGGGCGGGTCTGGCTGGCATGTGGTGCTGGGGATCGAACCGCGGTCCCTGTGCTTTGCCAAGCTTGTTTCAAGTAGGTGCTTTAGACCACTGAGCCATCTCTCCAGCCCCCCAAACACTATTATACAAATCTTTCTTCTCACTGAATTAAGAGCAAGTAGTTGTATATTTATCCTAACTTTTTGTATATACAGATACAAAATGGTCCTTCATTTGTTTCCCCATTTGCTGTTTAATTTTGTCAGAGATGGGTTTTCCATTGCCATTTAAATATTGTAGGTACGTGAATTCAGCAAAATAATCCAATATAGTCCAGTAGTCCATAATAGTAGTGGGTTATCCATAGGACTGGCAAGATCAGAAGTTGTTGATTTGAGCCTTTTACAGCTCAGCATATTAATATGGCTTTACTTTCTTTTTTTTTTCCAGCACCGGGAATTGCACTCAGGCCCTTGTGCTTCCCAGGGAAGAGCACTTATTCTACTGAGCCATCTCCCCGGCCCTGTGGCTTTACTTTTAATACCTTATTTTTATACTTTTCTGCTGGATGGTTAAGACCAAGATAAAGCAAGACCTATATGACAAGAAATATAACTTCTGTATCTGACAAGGTCAGTCAAATCCCCTCAAGATTTACCCTGAAACCCCATACCACAGTTTGTAGATCCTTTGTCAGTGTCAGCCACATGGATGAGTCACGGCCATTGCTTGACCAATTTGCTCTCTGTGAAAGCCTGAGAGAATATTTTCCCTCCATGTGACTCTCCTTAGGCACACTCGACATCATCGATCACTGTTCTTGGTGTCCCCATGATCTCCTTGATCAGTATATTTGGGACACAACTGAGTTACTGGATGTTACAGTACAGGTTCTCCTATGTCCTGAGTCCTCACTGACCTTGAAATATTTAAAAATATTTTTTTCTTTTCAAAGTTTTATTGATAAACAGATAGCAATGAGACAGTTTCAAATCAAATTGAAAGTACAGTTTCAACAAATAATACACTGCATATATTCTTCTTAGTGGTTAATTGCTGTACAAGATGCAGACTTGTGATTCTATTTGCAAACACCATTAGAAAAAATCATTCTATTCATTAAGAGAAGGCAACTATATATCTATCCCAACCACTTTGAATACACAGATACAAAATGGACATTCATAGTTATACCCATTTTTTTTGTTCCGTTATTGAATATTATAGGTGTGTAAACTCAGCAAAATATTCTAAAAGAGTCCAGTAGCCCATAGTAGCATTGGGTCTTCTGTTTAACTGGCAATGTCAGAAATTATTGACCTGAGTCCCCCACAGCTCAACATAACAGCATGGCTTTATTTCTTATATTTCGTCTTCATAGTTTTCTACTGGATGGTTAAGACCAAGGTAAAGCAGGACCTGTGCAACAAGAGTTGTAGCTTTTTGGTCTGAGAAGGTCAGTGAAATGTCCTCAGGATTTATCCTGAGATAAAAATATTTTTAAAAATAGGAATAAACAGTTACATATTTTTACACAGAAATTTAGAAATCTAACCATATACAGCATTGTAGCAGGACAGTCCTAGACCTTTTTTTCTTGTCTCTTGTTTTCATGTATTACCCTTTTTTAAAAACAAACCTTTGCTCCCATTAAATCTGTCAGGAAAAATGTTCCTGCCTTGTTTTGTGTGGTGATTTCAGCTGTGATGAGATGGAAAGTACAGTGTAAAATACATCCTTTATTTCTCTTTTTTGTTGTTGTATTCAGACCAAAAATATGAGAAACTTATGCAGCCACACACTAGTATCATTGAAATCCACCCAAAGACAAAAATGACCATGAGAATTCTAGAAAGACTTAAAATCTAGATTACTATTGCATCCACAGACACAGAGCACAAAAGTTCCGCACTGCAAGCCATCAAGCCCTGAAAAGCATTAAAGATATCCAAGCAGTCTTCCTCCACCCTCCTTGCCTACTACACCCCATATTACAGCCTGGACTGCACCCAAAGAGGAGGGAACAGTCTCCACACCTCTGTCTTCAGGTCAGAAACTGAGGTTTCTACCCCACATCCAGGCATACCTGGATGTTTCTAGAAAGCTGAGGGTTCGGGAGATGGGGAAATGCCTAGAATTGCAGGAAAAAGTGCATCAAGCAACCAGCTGGGATCACAGAGCGCACATGAAATAAACCATGAAATACATCTACCGGGAAATTTGTCAAGCCCCGACCACATACCAGGAACTATATGAACCGCTATTGATAAAAGACATACTGGGTCCCCAAGATTTTTCAGGGTGCCTGCTGGCCCACAGGCTCAGGGACACTGCTGATGTTCCGTTTCTGACCAGGGTACAAGTTACGTGGGTTGTAGCCTTGATCTTCACTAACTGCCATTATATTGCACTTTGCATTGTTTCACGTGCTTCTTAGAAATGGCCTCTAATTTATAATATAATTCTCGAAAAAGATAACTAAGGAGGATGTTGGTTATTTAAAAAGTAAAACAAAAATTCAATCAAAATACTAGTACTTTTATGTATTTATTTTAAATAGAACAAAATGATAAGAACAATGAAATAGTTTCAAAACAAGTTAATAGACAATTTACAATGGATAATATATTGCATATTATTATCTTCAAAGTAGCTCAGATTATAAAATATAACTACTATTATAGATTATTGGACTATATGAGATTATTTTGATGAATTTACACACCTACAATATTTGAATGGCAGAGGAACACCCATCTCCAACAAAGCTTAACAAAAAAGGGGGATATAAACGAAGGACCATTTTGTAGTGAAATATATATATATAATAGAATAGATACACAGCTACTTTCTCTTAGTGGTCCCTGTGCTTTGCCAAGCTTGTTCCAAGTAGGTGTTTTAGACCACTGAGCCATCTCACCAGCCCCTCAGTTCTTTCTTTTTGAGCAATTTCTTTCCCTTCCACAATATCTATTGTTCATTTTGGATCTTATTCACTCTTTTGGTTTTTTATGCTATGGAGACAATGTGTTGTTTATACATATGAGTCTGATTTATTTCACTTATGAGTATGGTCTCTAGTTGCATCCATTAACCTATAAAAGTCTCGAGTTTATCCTTCTTTATAGCTGACTAGTATTCTATTAAAAATACCACCTTTTTTATCCATTCCTCAGTTGATGGGCATTTGGGATCTTTCCAAAGTTTAGCTATTATAAATTGAGCACTACTACTCTTTTTAAAAAATGTACTTTGTAACAAGGTCTCATTATGCCTCTTGGACTCCTAGTGATCCTCTTGCTTTCAGCCTGCCCAGCACTGGGATCACAGGCATGTGCCACCACTCCCAGGCTGAGGTGACCGGCTCAGCACACCCGTGGATGGGGCCAGCACGCCTGATGGTGCTGGGGATCAAACCCTGCTCCTTGTGCTTGCTTAAACAGGAGCTTACTCCTCAGAGCTATCTCACAGGCCCTAGCACCATGACTTTTAATAGTGGTTGGATAGAGAGGATAGTAACAGAAGTTGTACTTTTGTG